ATCCCAGCCTGCTCCCTGCCCAGCGCAGGAGCCTGGGAGCAGAGGGCTGAGCTGGCTCTGGGGCCACATGCATGTGCACACACGTGTGTGCATGGATGTGTGTGCATGCACGTGTGTGCTCGCTCCCGCTGCTCCCACCCCCCGGGCCAGCAGTGCCCCATTCCGCAGGCTGCAGCGAACCGAGGTCTCCAGCCCCGCAGCGGGACCCCCCCGCACCCCCAGCCGCTCGCCCCAGCCGCTCCATCCCCGGCACTCACCAGGCGCTGGAAGGGACCGGTGATATTTATGGAGCTTTATTAACTCCCAGCCCTGGGAGGTTCTCACCTCTTCCAGCTAATTCAGACGCCCGACTCCTGACGGAGTTACAGTGATTGCCATTAAAAAGCTTGACATTTACCTTACAACAGTAATAAAATAATAATGCCTAATTTGGTTTATGAGTGGTATTTGCAGTGTTTCCTGTGCCTGGAGTGGGGGATATTGTGAAGATCGCTGCTACGCTGATCAATTATGTCTGCTTAACAGCACTGCTGTAATTCTTTCCTGTAATCATCACTGTCTTTCAGCAGAGCTGCTCCAAAGTTTTCCTCTGAAACTGTAATTTTGACAAGAAAAGAAAATGTTTTCAGATACTTCAGCTTCTAGTGAATAACAAAAGCTTTGGAGGTGAAACTTTCTGGTGGAAGAGTGGAGAAAGCCAAAGCTGGAGCCTGCACAGATTTGCTGCATTTAGATTTCCAGAATCTTTCAGATGTTTTCAAAGGCTGCCTGTGATTGCTTTCCATTAAAAAGCGATTTTTCTCCTGCAAATAACCAGCTGTCTTTCACTCGTCAATGCAATTCCCTTCTGTTATTTGCCTCTCAAATATTAAAAATCCCTGGGGTGTTTCACCTCCCCACCGATCGCTGCCGAGTGCAGGGACGGGGAGCTGGCCCCGGGGCCGCTGCTGGGCTCTGCGGGAGGGGCTGGCCCCGGGGCCAGGGAGCCCAGACCCCTTCTCGGGGAGCCGAATCACCCCAGAGCACATGCACCCCTGCACACACACAACGCTGTCCCTGAGCTATTCAGCAACGCCGCTTCCATCCCGCTGGGATTTACCCCCGGGATGCAGGCGGCGATGCCCCGACACGCTCGCAAGCCAGCGCCGGGCCCGCTAAAAGCAATTTCTTTCTCCATTGCTCACCCTGAGCAAAACTCGACGTCGATTTTCCTTTATTTTCAGTGCAATTTTAATTAGTGCATGATGCACTCCGGGTTTTTATGAGCGTAAACAGCTTGGAAAAACAGTGCATTCCAGCTCCCCTACGCCGGGGAGCCTCATCCTGTTCAGACTAGAAACTTCACGCTGGATTTCTGGAAGTCGTGCTTAAGATGGGTTCATTTCCACGAAGAAACGGGACGATTTCAACAAATGGAAATTTTTGAAAGTAGGAAAGTGATTGCAGTTTCTAATTTGATGGAAGATAGATATAATTATTGTTTACTCTTTCAAGTAGAAAACATACATAGGTTTGTTTGTTCAAGGGTATTTTACAAGATGCAGGTGCTCTATAGAATCACTTGGGTTATAACTGCAGATGATAGTGATGGAAAATATTAATAAATTTAAACAGTCAGTAAATCAAAGAAGTAAACCAAGACCCCTCAAACTTCCTAAAAGACCTTACTAAATATTTTTTTTCCATATCTAGGACGTAGAACTCTTTACAAATAAAGAGTGTGACATTGACTGCTTTCATACCTACCACATTAATCTAGACTCTAATCTGCTTTATGTTAAGGAGGAAGTAATAGGTTCATGATTTGGGTTTGGCCCTAATTATGCACATATTTTATAGTCCTACTGACTTCTGTAACAGTACAGTTGATGTCTAAAGCTGATTAGAATTTGATTTGCATGATTTAAGACCCCGGGGCCCGGCACGCTGCGGGGGAAAGCTGGCTGCCTCCGTCACGGGGTCGGCAGCGACCCAGCCTTCCCGCCACATGTGCAGCTCAGAGCCGCCAAAACTCCACCTCGGAGCGGGCTCGGCGTCCTCGCACACGGAGGAGACCATGGGAGGGGAGAGCCCAGAGGACTGCCGCTTTCTGGACGTAAGTTGGTGGCTTGCTTTGCCACCGTGCAGCCGGTCAGCATGACAAATGTCCGATGTGCACGCGTCCCCGTCCCTCCGCGAGCCGCCGGCCGACCGCTGCCTGTCGCTGGTTTGTCCTTAATTAGGCGGAAGCATCCAAGACGGGAAAGAAGACCTGCACCAGATACCGGGTCTGCGGGTTGCTCTTCGGCGTGCTGCTCGTTTCTCTTATTCTGATGTTTTTCGGTGTCAAATATCTCTGGAACCCAACAGCCAGAAAAGTAAGTAAAAACTCTCTGATCCCGCGTTTCTGAGCGCCGCTTCCCCAGACAGAGCTGTTCCCCCCCGACTCGCTGAAACTTCTAACTACACCCCGAAACCCAGGCAACTTTACAAAATGCATTTTCTGAGACCACAAGTATTCATGGGACTCTTAAAAATCTTTGTATTATTCATAACTAGCTTTTACTTTATACAGGCTGGGCTTTTTCTCTGTCACCACATTCTTTCCCCAGCTGACAATTACAGGGGACGGGAGCTACGCCACGAAGAGTTAAAGTTACTCCTATTTCACCGGCAGCAAATTTTATGACAAGTAAGAAAATATTTTCCATTTCATTTCAATTATCTTGCCAGAAACTGGTGGAAAAGTCATTATGCCACCGCATAAAGAGGAGAGAAAGCCAGGACGCAGTGGTGATTGATTGTCATGGATTATATTTCTTGCTTTAATGTGTCTGCAATGTGAGGGGACGGTGAGACGGATTAGCTTTTGGAGGAGCTCCTGCTAACTGGATTGTGCTCGTTTATTCCCAGCTCCCCAGACGGACGCTGCTGTAAGTGCCGAGCGTGCCGGGGGCGGCATCTCCGCCCGCTCCGGCCAAGATCTTGGCAATTCTGCCAAAACCACTTTTTGTCATCCCGTACCCCAAGCCAGTCTCTTGACCTTGAAGCCAACGGCTTTCCCAGTGCTCCTCATCCTCCTCCTCTGTGAGTTTCCATGCTCGTGCAGGAGGCCCCGATTGCACCCTGCTGCCGGCGGGTTTTGCTGACCCTGAAGAATTTTTCCAAGATTCCCGTGCACAGCCAAGGCGGCCTCCTTCCCACGGCTGCCTCTGCTCTCTCCTCCCAGCCCCAGGCCAGAGCCTCGCCAGCCCCGCCGGGCTGCCCTCCCGCCGGGCAGAGGAAGCACCCCGCTCGCCGGAAACTTTGTCTTCTTATCAGCAAATAGAAATAAACACCCCCAAAAAGAAAAGAAAAAGCAATGAAAGCCATATGTGCCTCCAGGCTCCTGCCAAGACGGTTATAAAGTCTCTACTGTTCCTCGAAAAACAGGGGCTCCTTCTCCGGCCGGCCCGGGAGACCTCCGGGAACAGCAGGACAGGGGAAGCTGAAAGTTCCTAATGCTCAAAAATAAAAACAGAGGAAAATTAAGCTCTTTAAAGAACAAAAAACCCTTCAAGCTCCCTTTGTGCAACCGGAGAGTGGAAGAAATCTTTAAAGCAGACTTGTTCCTCCGAGGGGTGGCCTTGGACACGGCGCTGCCCTCTGCACAGCAGCATCTGCTCTGGCTGGCACCGCCGGCGAGTGAAGGCGATGAGTCAGCTAACGAGGGGCTCGTCGCGGCCTCGCCGAGGAACATATTTCAGCAATTCGCGAGCGAGTGTCATTTTCAGCCCTATAAAGCATCTCACAGCTCTCTGAGCAGCGCGGAGCCAGCCAAGCCCAAATGGGGTAGCTGGCTACTGCGCTGGCGAAAGTAATTCTTCGTAAATGGAGAGGCACTCGAAGGTAAGGTGCCACCCGGGATCCTACCCTCCTAGAAACGATTTACAGCACCATGTACATTTTATCAGTCCAAACCAGCGGCCTTCCAGCCATTTTAGGCTGCAGACTATTTTTTCCATACCATAAAACCCACTGACAGCCGTATATCTTTATAAAAGCCTCCTGCCGACTAGCAGGAGATGCTCATGGCTGCCAAGGTGCACATGGCTCTTCTAACTTTTCAGCAGGCATAAAGGCACCTGGCTGTTACCCACGGCCCGTTCTGCGCCCAGGCTTCCTCCAGCGGCTGCAAAACGGCGATGCTGATGCTGAATACACTGCTAAGAGCAATCGCCCTCCCTGACGGGGAGGGACGTGCAAGAACCAGGCAGCTGCGGAAGGGGGTTCAGGCTGGGACTGCAGGCAGAGGCCGCAGGGGCATTGCTGCGGGGCCAGGGTGCTCCTTCCCCGGCTCCACGGCCGTGCCAGGGGACAAACAGGCCTTTCCCATCCCCGTGCCTCCATCACTCCCCTCTGCCCTGTGGACCTGAGGGCTTTTGCACAAGTCCTTTGCTTCCGCACGACACCGTTTGATTTGGGAAGCGAGACTCCCCAAGGCTCGCCAGCTCTCGCCGTGCCAGCAGGATCATTTCTGTGCTTCAAACAGCATCTGCCACTGCTCATCCTTTCAGGGTCAGGCGTCCGTGGAGACTGGAGGGCTGCCGGGCTGGCTGAGTGCGGCGAGCACCTGCGAGGAGAAGAGGGCTGCTCACCCTGGCTCCCCGCAGGGATGAGTGCCGCCGGGAAGCCGGCTGGTAAGCCCCCAAGCTATTCAGCACCCCTCGCGGGCGCGTCCGTGGAGACTGGAGGGCTGCCGGGCTGGCTGAGTGCGGCGAGCACCTGCGAGGAGAAGAGGGCTGCTCACCCTGGCTCCCCGCAGGGATGAGTGCCGCCGGGAAGCCGGCTGCTACGCCCCGAAGCTCTTCAGCAGCCCTCGAGGAGGTCTTTGATCCGTAGGCAATCCCTGATCTCCTCCAGGCAGAGAGAGGCTTTTACCTCCGCCTTTCCAGGAAAAACAGAAGGCGCAGAGATGGAGCGAGCGAGCCGGGGATGCAACAATGGAGCGAGTAAGCCGGGGACACAGTGATGGAGTGAGTGATGCAGTGATGGGGCAAGCCAGCCAGGGACACAGTGATGGAGTGAGTAAGGCAGGGATGCAGTGATGGGGCAAGCCAGCCAGGGACAGGGGAAAGTGAGTTCCCTTGGTCTCAGGGCTTCAGTCCAGCCTGGGACGTAAACAGGCTCGTGCCACAGAAAACGCCAGAAAAGGCTGAGCCATGGCAAAGCTCCTGGTGCGAGCGTGGGATGAGGAACTTCTCCCAGGCTTGACACACGTGTGCCCCCGCAGCCTGGCCCCACGCTGCCCTGCTTCGCAGCCCCGATGCCAAGGAGCTGCCTCTCCTCGCACTACACGGACGATCATCCTGGCTCCGAGCTGGGGTGCGGGGAAGCAGCTGGCCCCGTGGCAGGGTACCCAGCACCAGCCCGCTTGCCCCCCAGCCGGCACGTGAAATCGGGTCGGGGCTCAGCCAAACCCTGTGCGGTTTTGGCCCTAGCAGGTCTACGACATGGAGCACACGTTCTTCAGCCACGGCGAGAAGAAGAAGATTGTGATGGAGATCGACCCGCTGGCCAGGACGGAGACCTTCAGGAGCGGGAACGGCAGTGAGGAAATCCTGGAGATCCATGACTTCAAAAACGTGAGTGCGGCAGTGTCTGTCCCCGGGAACCCGCCTGCCACCTCGCAGCAGGACCAGCGGGATCCCATAGGACCTCGCAGGGTGGCTGGAGCAAGCCCCAGGACAATTTGTTTCTGCGTCGGGGAGAGCAATGCCCAGAGGCAGACTCTCTGGGGATGCTCTCAAAGGAAAGGAGATGTGTATCTACATAAGCTTCCACCGACATTTAATAGTGGCATGGTTCAGTTCCAATGAAATACGTCTTAAAAGCGAGACCTAGTTATTGGATTTACCCTTGCAAAGGAACGCAATCATCATAAATCTATCCGAGCCCAGTACATTTGTGCAGTGACATATGGCAAAATTTTCAGCTAATAGCCTAGCAGGAACTGGGGGCTGAATGTTCATATAACCATAACGGTCAGATGCTATTCTGCCTATTTTTATTTATGATAACTAGAGCTCGTGATAGTTATAAGGAGAAGGGAGCAAAGTAAAATTTTATTACTATCTGCCTTAAAATATTTGTAAAAAGCCCAATTCTCCCAAACCATAAAATGCAATATCCCCTAGGAGAACCTGTTAGTACATCTTAGCATCGCCGCTGAACAGTTTGCACAAAAACATCAACAGGAAGAATACACCTAAACCCCCATCCAGCTGTACCCTCGGTGCGATGCAGTTATTTGTCCTCCTGCTCTGCCCTGACTGCTTTTTTGGTGTTTGTTTTGATGCTGTAGGGAATAACTGGCATCTTCTTCGTGGGACTTCAAAAATGTTTCATCAAAACTCAGACTAAAGTCCTACCTGAGACGACAGAGGCCAAGATCCCTGAGCTTGAGGTAGGTGAAACCTCTGCCCCCGGCGAAACCCGCTCCTCTCCCTGGCGCTGGGAGCGTGGCTGCCATCCCCACCACCCTCCCATCTGCTCCAGCCTTCCTGGAGACTCTGCAATAAAGAATTAATGAGTTGCGATCGCTTTATAAAATGATCTTATATTGGAGGATTGCTTCTGAAAACAACAAGTGGGAAGCGATGGGATTAGACAGCCGACAGACAAAAACCTCTCGGCACAATACCAGAGGTCAAGAACAATAATCCTGTTGTAGTCAAAAGGTCGCAAGGCAGCTCAGGATTAGCGGGCACCAAAAAGTCAATCAAATTGTTTTCTCCAAAAACTGAGCCTCGTGTTCTCCAGCAGAATGAGGCAGATGTAATGAATTTAAAAAGCAGCCGTGTTTCAGAAATGCGATTTGAGCAAGCGCTTGGCGTGCAGCCCTAGGAGGTGGGAAGCACCTGGCTGGGGCCACTTCCCTGCCCTGCGTGGACCTTCCTCCCACCGCAGCATCTTGCACCCGTTTGACTTCTGCCCACCACATCCTGCTGCACGCAGTCTCACGCTTTGCATGCTGCGTGGAGAGAAGTGTTTGACTCCACGTCTCAAGCCCTCTCTGACAGCGTGACCTGGAGTGATGGCTCAGTCCCTCAAAAGCAGTTGTCCCCTGTCCCCATCCCCACCTCCGAGCCCTCGGCGGTGGCACAGCCCTCCCTCCTCCCCCTTTGCCAGGCAAAGGGTGTCACCAGGCTGGATCCCCCGCAAGGAAGCCGTTGCAGATAGAACGCCAGCAGGACACGTGCTTGAAACAAAGCGTGGGCAGAAACGTTTCCCTGAATCGCGACCCAGATTCCCAGACTATCAATTCTTTGATTATGCCGTAAGAAGCTGATAGATCTTCTCAGCTGCTGTTGTAAACGGGATACGACTTCCCAGGCTTTAGCAGAACATAGCCCCAGGTAGAGAGCTGAAATGTAAAACCCAATGAGATAAATGTAGTTTTAAGCTCCAGTCATCTCCTCCCAGAGCCTGTGTGCTGCTAGGTCCTTCAGGCAGCTTCTTCCCAACCCCGCAGCTTTCGGCAGAGACCCTGAAGATGACTCAGACTGGGTCAGGTTGTGCTGGCTCTTTCCTAAGACTTCCCAAAGACATAAGGAAAAGTTCTATGAAAGATAAATACAGCTCCAGACGCCTTCTGGAGAGAAAAATGCTGTTTGCCAGGTTTGTCTATGGGCTACCACCACGAACATACACAAGACTGCCTTGGCAGATAGCTCAGCACAGACCCATCCAATAATCGTTATACATCTCCCTCCCTAAGCGCCTGCCAAAACACCACACGGACTAATGCAGTGGCAGAGACATGTGGTATAAATTACAGAATACGGCCGTGCAAGGAATTTCTGCGAGGAATAAATTAAAGTGTTCGATCAGAAAATCAGTAGCAGAAGGAGAGAGAAATTAAGTAGTAGGAGCAAAGCAGAGAGGAGATGTTTTAATCTTGGGTTTTAAATGAGCTGGGGCACTCCAGAAGGCTCTTCCAGATGGTGGGGACTGCACAGGAGAAGGCTCTTGAAGCACGATGAACGGAGGGAGGAGAGAGAGTGGTGGTGTTGGCTGAGAGCGGGCTGGAAAGACAAGGCTCACAATGGGTGTCCCTCCGTGAGGACCAGTGGGGTGTTCCAGGTGCACCCAGCGAGCACCACAAGCCAAGGCAGAAGCAGTCCAGCTGCTCTCTGGGAGGGGAGAGGGGCCTCTGGGTAGGAGAAGCAGCCAGCGGTGGGGACAGGGTGTCTCACCACGCCAGGGTGAAATCTCACTCTTCTTCCAGGGAGAAGAAATCACGACCACCTACTTTGAGCAGTCTGTGGTCTGGGTGCCTGGGGAAAAGCCCATTCAGAACAAGGAGTTCCTGAAGAGCTCCAAAATTTTTGACATCTGCAGAAATGTGACCATCTACTGGATCCACCCCACACCGATAGCAGGTACAAGAAGCCACCTCCTACCTGAAGTGCTCGTGAGTCCCCACACCGGGACCAGCCCTGCCACCCACCCATGTCCCCTCTGCCATTTGCCCCAGTGCAATGTGGTGGGAACCCATTTCTGCAGCCTCATTGTACATCTCAGACACGAACACAATGCTGGCCACAACCATGAGAGAACATGGCCAATGCAACAGCAGGGGCTGAAGTTTCTCTCTGCAAAGCGCTTGTCTCTGCCGGCTCCCCGCCGCCCTGCACTTTGCAGAGCAGCCACCCTCCTCATAACACGGCAAAAAAAAAAATCCCCAAACCCTTTTTAACTGCAAAGAAGCCAATGCTGCTGGAAACTGGGACGCCTAAATTCTCATCACCGCATGAGCAGACGTCTGCATCTAAATCACACAACGGGGTTGCCACCTCCAGCTGCTCGCTACACGGCCCTCGCAGAGGTTGTGGCCTCTCAGATCCACCGGCGTAATTACCCACTCTCTCTAACCCACTTCTATCCAAGTGAGCTAGTTTAAAAACCCCTTCCAAGAAAAATCCCACCGCTCTGCAGCCGCAGAGGCACATCTCGTCCCCCACGGGTACCAGTCAGCTCACGGCCATCGATGGTCCCAGGAGGAAGTGGGCATCAGAGATCCCCAGCGCAGAGAGAAGCTGTTGTCCCCGCTGCTGTCCCCTTTCCCCTTCCTGGGACCCCCCTGTTAGACCCCACCTGCAGCTGAGTTTCAGTGAAGGACATTAGCATCACTGTGGCTCTTACCTAAGCCATGGATGCTGTAGCTGGCTCTAATCTGCCCCAAATTGTGTCGCTTTGCTGCGTCTCTAAAAATCCCTCTGACAGCAGCAGAGCCCACCACGAGGACACGCTTCCCCAACACCACCCATCAGCATGGGGCAGGAAGACGGGCCGTGTCTCCTCTACCCTCTCCTCCTGCCATATCATCTCCTACAGCCCTTCTTCTAGGGTTGGTAAGAGCAGGAGGCAACGGAGTACATCTGTTCTGCTGGAGGGCTCTTATACCTTGGCACCAAATTTTGGTAGAGACATTAATGCTTGCTGTGCATTTGTCCCCTTGCTCCCTGGCTGTTGACACCAACGTTTGGGCTCTTCCTGCAGCTCCTGAGCTGGTCAGCCTTGAAGGGGCAGAAGAAGAAGACCCTGAGCTACTCGTAGACGACCAGAGCTGGTTGGACAGGGGGAGTGAACATGAGGTAGAGAAGAATGCGCAGCCAGGGCCCAAGCGTCGGGCACGGCAGCTCACCGAAGAGGATCTGCCCGTCAACGACTACGTGAGTGAGGGGAATCACACGCTGGGGTAACCTGGCCATGGTTTAATCTGGTCACCTGATCACACTCCTGGGGTGTCCTGGCCATGTTCCTAGGGTGTCCTGGCCATGGTCCCAGGGCGTCCTGGCTGTACTCCAGGGGTATCCTGGTTGTATTCCTGGGGAGCCCTGGCTGTGCTCCTTAGGAAGTCCAGTCCATGCTTCTGGGGTGCCCCGGCCATGCTTCTGGGGTGCCCAGGCTGCTGTCTTCTCCATATTCCTGGGGTGCCCTGGTCATGGTCCTGGGGGGTCCTGGTTGTGTTCCTGGGGTGTCCTGGTTGTGCTCCTTGGGATGTCCTGTCCATGCTTCTGAAGTGCCCTGTCCAAGCTCCTGGGGTGCCCTGGCCATGTTCCTAGGGTGCTCTGCCTATGCTCCTGGGGTGCCCAGGCTGCCTTCCCAGGACGTCCTCTCTATGCTCCTGGGGTCTCCTGACCATGTTCCCGGGGTGCCTTGGCCACGCACCCCCCTTGCTGAGCTGATGCTGGCTTTTCCTGGCAGTCGGAGAACGGGCTGGAGTTCCACCCCTCGTGGGATGAGCAAGGCTACTGCTGCGCCCAATGCCGCC